GCCGCTACGAGGTTGCTCGCGACGTTGTCGTCCAACAGATGAGCAATCGGCATGGCCCTCTTCCTCGACGCGACCGAGGAAGCCGAGATGATTGGTAGCGAGGAGTACGATGTCGCCGTCTGGGCTACGCGCGTGCGCCTCGCCCAGCGCGGACCTCCTGCTCTCCTCGGTTTCCTTGGCCTCAACGCTGCGACCATCTCGAAGAACATGTCGGCCTCGCACCCTCTCATTGCCGGCGCGCTTGCTGGCGGTCACTACCCGTCGCTCATGAGCCCCTCCATCGACGGCGTCAACGCCGTGCCCACCTTTGCACTGTGGGAGCTTATGGTCGCCAAGGCTATCTACTGGGCTATCATCCCGACCCTCCAGATTTTCATTGGCACAGTTCTGCTTGATACCTGGCAGTACTTCCTGCACCGCCTGATGCACGTCAACAAGTTTATGTACAGTAAGTGGTGTCATGATGATTTCACATGATTCGACCCCCAATTGACCCTTGGCGACACAGCTACCTTCCACTCGCGCCACCACCGTCTCTATGTCCCTTACGCCTACGGCGCACTCTACAACCACCCCGTCGAAGGTTTCCTGCTCGACACCCTCGGCGCTGGTCTCTCTTACAAGGTCACCTTCATGACCCAGAGACAGGGTCTGCTCTTCTTCTGCCTGTCGACGATCAAGACGGTCGACGACCACTGCGGCTATGCCCTGCCCTGGGATCCTATCCAGCACATTACGAGTAACAATGCTGCCTACCACGACATCCACCACCAGACTTGGGGCATCAAGACCAACTTCTCCCAACCCTTCTTCACCTTCTGGGACCGCTTCCTGAACACCAGGTACAAGGGCAACAGGCAGAACCGCCTGTTGGAGAAGGAGAAGGCAGTCGCTGCCGCCAAGACCCAATGAGCTTTTAATGGTCATATCTCTTTACACTCTTTTCTTCCACGACGTAATATGTAACAACCTTCTCTTCGACTGTAACCCCAGTGTTCTCTTATTTTTTTTCGATCGAGACCGGTTTGGATGGATGGCTGGATCCGTCGCAATGAAGATGGTCCTCGCTGTGAATATACACAGCACACACACAAATACACACACAACACATTCAGGGGCAGGGCATGGACAGGCGTTTCCTTGTTGTTTTTCGAGCCGTATCTTCTTCTTTGGTGTTTTGAAACCCCCCCTTGCGTCGTCTTGATAATGGAGATGGCTTCAGCTTGAGGTCCTGCGTCGATCCGAGCTCGTCTGACAGGTCATAACATGGAGAGGGGTACGCTCATCTCGACGCGTACTTTCGGCAACTTGTATGGCCTAGACCGCGTTGTTCTTCGGGCGACATGAAGCGATGTGACATGCGTGGCGGGGCCTCCTTTGACAAGAGGTGGGACGGTGTTCACGGTGGTAGGGGCTTAATTCGAGGTTCGGTCAGACAGTGTGTCCCGTACGACGTGGGAAATGGGGAAAAACGGCGGACTCGGGGGGTTTGTGATTCACTACGCTACACATAA